ACAGAACCATCTTGGATTTTGTCTCTGATAAAATGACAATCCATTTCAATGTGTCGTGTTCGCTCATGTAAAACAGGATTTGCTGCTATATGTAATGCAGCTTGGTTGTCGCAATGAAGTATTGCTGCCTTCCGATGTGGCAACTGAAGATCTCGTAACAAACTACGCAACCATGTCAATTCACAACAAGCACCAGTCATAGCTCTGTATTATGCTTCTGTTGAAGAAAGTGAAACAGTTTTCTGTCTCTTTGATCTCCAAGAAATCAAGGAGTTTCCAAGAAAAACACAATATCCAGTGGTAGATCTTCTGGTGGTTGGACAACCTCCCCAGTCAGAATCACAATAAGCTCGCAATCTCAAGTCATTTTGAGCTGGAAAAAATAAACCTTGTCCTGGAGTGTTTTTGAGGTACTTCAAGATGCGCAACGCCACCTCCATATGAGGTTTACGTGGCTCATGCATAAATCTACTAAGCACATGCACTCACTGCATATGTAATGTTTGGTCTTGTGATGGTCAAGTAAATCAAACGACCCACTAACCTTCTGTACTTGGCTGAATCTTTAAGCAATTCACTTGTGTCAGATAATTTCAAATTTTGTTCCATGGAAAATAAGACAGGTCGTACCCCAAGAAAACCACTATCTTTAAGGATGTCAATGGTGTATTTCCTCTTAGAGATGCTAATGCCTTTCTTTAAACGCGAAACTTCAATACCCAAAAAGAATTTAAGGTCACCGAGATCTTTAATGCGGAAGCGAGTATGAAGAACAATTTTAAGAGAATTAATGGCACCCAAGTTATTTCCTGTGATCAATATATCGTCAACATAAATCAAGAGAGCAATGAACGACTTTCCTCTTTTGCACGTGAATAAGGAATAATCTGCTTTGGACTGAGTAAAACCAGCAGCTTGAATAGCTTCAGAAAATTTTGCAAACCACTGATGAGAAGCTTGCTTGAGGCCATATAAAGACTTGTGGAGGCGACATACCAGATTCTCCCCCTGTCGCTAAAGACCAGGTGGTGGTGTCATAAAAATCTCTTCATGGAGATCCCCATGAAGGAAGGCATTATGGACATCGAGTTGATGAATGGGCCAAGAGGAAGCAGCGGCAAGTGCAAGAAGGCTGCGGACAGTAACCATCTTGGCTGTAGGAGAAAAAGTATCATGAAAATCAACACCTTCTGTCTGTGTATAACCCTTGGTGACTAACCGAGCTTTGTATCGTTCAATAGAGCCATCAGAATGATGTTTGATCTTGTAGACCTACCGACAACCAATAGGGTGCTTACTAGGAGGAAGAGAAGTAAGAGTCCATGTATGATTGGACTCTAAAGCTTGAAGTTCAGAGCTCAAGGCTTGCTGCCAGTTAGGATCAGAATTGGCCTCAGAGAAAGAACGTGGCTCCACACTGTGACTGAGTTGAGTAATGAAAGCAAGATGTGCTGGTGTATAACGATGATAAGAAATAAAGTTGCTCAAGGGATAACGAGTACCTGAGGTGCGATGTGAAGACGAAGACTCCGATTGGGCAGCTTTGGGTAGCGTGACTTGAGAGCAAACATAGTCTTGAAGGTGCACATTCAGAACCTTGTGATGTTCAGATTGGCGAGTGGGTTGAACGGGTGGTGCTGGAGAAGGTGGTGCAGTAGGTGGAAGAGAGGATTGGATTGCAGGAGGATCTGGTGCTGGAAGAGAAAAATCTGTAGAAGGAGGCGTAGATGGAATGGGACGCATGAGACTAATAGGCAAAGTGTGCTCTGTGGGCTCAGGAGCTAGATTGGAATTTTGTGGTGGAGATGAGTCATGGGCTAAAATGGGTAAAGGAAGGCTAGTGTTTGGGATGGTGGTGGGACCAACAATTGGAGTGGAAAAAGGAAAGACATCTTCCTTAAATAAAACATCTCGGCTAGTGAATATTTTTTGAGTGGACAAATCATAGAGCTTATATGCCTTTTGGCCAACTGGGTACCTAATAAAAATAGATTTAACTGCTCGAGAATCAAACTTTTTGGTAGGGTGAACTATAGTAACATATGCAAGGCAACCAAATACTCGTAAATGTGAATATGATGGGGTTTTGTGATATAAACGTTCAAAAGGGGTTTGTTTGGAAAGAACTAAAGTGGGAAATCGATTAATCAAATGAACGGCAGTGAGAATGTATTCCCCCCAAAAACGGAAAGGCAAGTGTGCTTGAAATCGCAAAGCACGTGCGGTCCCAAGAATATGGCGATGCTTACGTTTGACAACACCATTTTGTTGGGGTGTGTAGATGCAAGAATGTTGATAAATGGTGCCTTGTTCTTTAAAAAAATCACGCAATGAAGAAAATTCACCCCCGTTGTCTACCCTAATTGCTTGGATTCTAGCAGTGAATTGGGTCTGAACCATGGAAAAAAAAGACTTTAGAAGCCCTTGTGTTTCATGCTTATGATGCATAAGGAAAACCCAGGTAAAACGAGAATAATCATCCACTATAGTTAAAAAATAACGAGCCCCAGAAAGGGAAGGAACTTTATGAGGTCCCCAAATATCACAATGAATAAGGGAAAAAGGTCTCGAAGTTGAAATTTAACTAATGCCAAAAGGAAGGCGAGTTTGTTTAGAAAAATGGCAAGCATCACAAACATTATGGAAAGAAAATGAACAATTCAAATGTTTTGCTAAAAATTGTAAACGAGAGGATGAAAGATGCCCTAAACAGCGATGCCATAAATCTCCAGGAGTTGTAACTAGGTGACAGGAAGGTCAGGTGGTGGATGGTGTTCTATCAGACGCCAACGCCACAAGGTAGTAGAGTCCATCACGCTCCTTACCCAAACCAATCGTCGTCCTCGTCTTCAAATCCTGTAAAATACACCAAGTGGGAAAGAAAATTATTAAGCACTGTAATCCTTTCGTAAGTCGACTTACGGACATCAGATTAACTTTAAATGTAGGCACACATAACACATCTTGTAAATAAAAATAAGAGTTCAAAGGAAGATTCCCAGTAGACGCAATTGGTGCTGTTTCTCTACTAGGCATAATGACTAGCAACATAGAGGAAGTACTCATCCTCTTGGTAAGTAATTTTGAATTCGATGTAATATGATGAGTTGCTTCACTATCAATTATCCAATGTAAATTGGGTAACAATTCGGAAATACCTGAAGAAGTTAAGGCGGTATTGGCTTGTGGTGCAACGTGAGATGGATTAGTGTTGTCACTCATCATGGCATGAATTTTCTTACATTGATCCTCGAATAAAGATGGCATAGCTGTATGAATCTCCTGCAAGAATGGACCATTGGAGGCCACATTATTGGCGGAACCGCTGCTAACTTTCCCTTTGCCTTTCCCAGATTTGTGAAGCCTGTGTCCAGGGGGATAGCCATGTAGCTTGTAGCACTTGTCCACTGTATGATGATCCCGATCGCAATGGCTGCAGTGAAGAGGTTGGCGCCCAGAAGAATTTGAACGCTGATTGTTTCGAACCGCCATAGCTGCTGGTTCGGTGATTGCTTGGCTGGAACCACGCTGCTTTTCTTCCTGGGTAATCAAAGAATAAGCCTTGCGAACCATAGGGAGAGGCTGCATAAGAAGTATCTGGCCTCGAATGGTGCTATAGGACTCATTAAGCCCCATAAGGAACTGCATCAACGAGTTTCGTTCCTCCTATTCGACATGCTTCTTCATGGCACCGCAAGAACAAGCTGGGACATCACTGTAAGAAGACAGCTCATCCCACAAACTCTTCATCCTGGTATAATAAACAGCAACGAACATCTGCTCCTATGAGAAGGAAGCTATGGTGCGTTGTATCTCGAAATACGAGGAGCGTTAAGTTGGGAAAAACGTTCTTTAAGGTCCTCCCAAATCTCTTATGCGGTGGAGGAGTATAACACGCTTTCTGCAATATATGGTTCTATCGAATTGAGCAGCCAAGATAAAACCATGTCGTTGTAACGCTGCCAAACCTTAAAACTCTCAGGCTTAGTTTTCTCCGAAGGGGCTTTGATTGTCCCATTCACGAACCCTAATTTTTTCTTCGCGCTTAGGGCGATGCGCATAGAGCGACACCATGTCGCATAATTGTTTCCATTAAGGATTTTGGAAACAAGAACCATTCCAGGATGATCAGAATGGTGAATGAAAAAGGGATCGGAAGCATCGTTTTTGCTTCCTGATGCAGCGGATTCTTGGTCTTTGGTCATGGTGGCAGCGGCAAGGAAAGGATGAAAATTAGGGTTGAAAGATGATTATTTGACAGGTGCGGCTAGAGCCAAGAGCTAGAGTTTCCTCTGCTCTGATACCATGTAAAATTGGTATGAAAAGATATTTGACCAGAATAATTCTCATTGATCATTGATGTATGTTTATATAATACATTCCGTAGGTTTCTCCTACAAGTAAGCTAACTAGCTAGGAAAGAATATATACAGGAAATCAAATAAGATAACATTCTTATTCTATTATACAATCCCTAAACTAAAGGATAATCTTTGATTCTCAACAATAACCCATTTTTTATTTGCATATCCATTTTCCAGATTTTTTTCATCTACAGAGGTTCTGGGTTTCTCACCCATACGGATTTTTACATCCAAATGATTTCGGGTTACTCACCCATGGATTTTTACATCCAAACAATTTTGGGGTTACTCACCCATGGGTTTTCATCCACATAATTTCAGGGTTACTCACCCATGGATTTTTATATCCAAACAATTTCCAAGTTACTCACCCATGGATTTTCATCCATATAATTTAGGGGTTTCTCACCCATGAATTTGTGGCCTGCTATGCCCAAGAAAAGGAAAATAAAAATGACAGAATACCTGTAGAAATTTTTCTCTCTTCTCTACACTGCCCCAATTTCTCCTGCGGCTTTTTTTAATATGTCGTCTGTCCTTTCTTTTTTTCTAATGTAGCCTTTTTATAGGCCAACTAGATAAGACTCTCTTGATCAAATAATGCTTTTGAATTTCAAATCCATGCTTAACAGATTTAGCCTTCCTTTTAGGCCTATTATCTCATGAATTTAGAAAATAATAGATATCCCAAAATTTTAGGAACCCCTGTTGGCTTGCATTTATCATTTACTTTTTTTATATTTGGCATAAATGATAAATGTCTTTGGCCGAATTTTTTCTTTCAACAATGGGGTTCAGAGATTGTGTAGGTACGAAAGTTGTAGTAAGGTCAGAAGGCTCAAATTCAAGGATAGGAAGAGGTAAGATGTTGGGCATGGTATTTGTGTGGGATAAATTGTAAGGAAATACAATTTCATAAGAAGTGACATCACGTGAAGTATAAACCTTCTTAGTGTGAAGATCATAAATTTTGTAAGCCTTTTGAGAAGGTGGATAACCAATAAATATGCATGGTTTGGCTCGTTTATCAAACTTTGAGTGAGGAGAAAGATTATGCCCGTAACAAAGGCAACCAAATATACATAAATGTGCATAAGAGGGTGACTTGCCAAAAAGAACATATAAGGTGTTTTTCCTTTTAAAATTTTTGTGGGCAAATGATTAATTAAATATGTAGTAGTAAGAACATAATCTCCCCAAAAAGATAAAGGCAAGTTCAATTGGAAACAAAGAGAACGAGCAATGTTTAAAAGATGACGATGTTTGCGCTCAACAATGCCATTTGGTTGCGGTGTTGCCACACAACTATGTTGATGAATGAGACCAACTGAAGAAAAAAAAAATGTTTAATGGTGTGATTAAAAAATTCAGTTTCACTATAGGTATGAACTTGGTGAATAGTAAGATTAAAATGTGTTTTAATCATATAAAAAAGAACTAGGCAGATAGGTAGTTACTTTAATTTATGTTGCATTAAATAAAGTCAAGTACTACGAGAATAATCATCTACTATAGTTAAAAAATATTTAGCACCAGAAAGAGAAGCAACAGAATAAGGACCTCACACATCACAATGAATCAAATTAAAACAAGCATTCGTTGAAATAGTACTTGAGGGAAAAGAAAGTCTACAATGTTTAGCCAAAGGGCAAATGGTGCAAACATGATTATTAACAATAGAAATTTTAGAATGAAAATTTTGTAGGTGGGAAGAATAAATTTAGATGGATGACCTAAGTGTGAGTGTCCTAGATTGAAACTTGGGGAAACAACAATGGAATTAGCAATGGAAAGTATGTCAGGAGCCAAATAATAAAGACCACTACGTTCCAATCCCTTACCAATCTCCCTCTTTGAACTCAGGTCTTGCAAAACACAATGATCAGAATAAAAGGTAATGGAACAACTAAGCAGCTTGGCAAGTTTGCAAACAAATAGAAGATTGAAACGAAAATCAGGTTGTAAATGCACTTATTATATCCTAATTGCGACAAGGCTAAAAGAAATGAATAATCGAGCATAAGCCCAAACATATGAAGTTGGGGAGGTAGGTGAGCTACGAACTGAGTACCTTGAAAAATCCTCCAAAAAATACACTTCAATCCAGGTAAGAGTCTGATCATTGCATATCAATTGTTTTAGAAACCCATTTGAATTATATTTTTAGCATCCTAAAGCCAAATCCAAGTTCAATTGTATTGGGGCTTTCGGTTGTGTTATGTTCATATACTAGGCTAGCCCCAACTTCATATGTTTAGGCTTAAGCTCGGTTATTCATTTCTTTTAGCCCTGTCACCTGTAAAGATGGTAAGGGTTTAGAAGAGCCAATATGAGTAATATTAGATGTTTGTCGAGTAGATAATTTAATAGGAGCAGTATTAAGAGTGGTCATGTTGTCTAACATATTATAACTAGAGACCATGTGGTCAGTGGCGACGGAATCAATGATCCAAGAACTAAGATTGAACGAAGAATGAAAACATAATGGGTTACCTGCGACATTAGCCATTGAATTATTTTTACTGGATGAAAACATGGCAATTAGTTGATTGTATTGTTCATGAGTTAGAATTGGTCCAGCTGGAGTGCTAGTGATTGTCGTGACAAAAGAAATAGTAGAGGCATTACATGAGGAAGAAGAATTGGTCTTGGTAGTACCATTCTTATTTTTGCAATGAGAATCTGTATGCCCTGTTGTATCACAAAATGTGCAAAACATATCATTTTTGCTTGCAGTTTTTTTCGACATCGGGATTTTGAGTGACCTTCAGTATCACAACATTTGCAGTGATAAAATGGCTTCTGAGACTACGGTCAATTGATTGCCTTGGTAGATTGATCAAGAGATATTGTGATTACAAGTTAAATAGAACGTTGGTATTCATCTTGTAAGAGTAAGGAGTAGGCACGATTGACAGTCAGCAAAGGATCCTAAAGATGCATATTACTACGAACCCTAAAATAGGACTAGTTTAGCCCAGCAAAAAAATTGCATAAGATGCTCTTCTTAAATGTGATTCACGCTAGTTTGAGAAGCTCCACAAGTGCAAAAGGTTAACGAAACATATTAAGATAACTCATCCCAATAACCTTTCAAAACAGTATAATAAAAGGCTTGAGTTACCTTGTGTATGATTGGCAATGGTGTGATGAATCTCAAAAATCCCAAGAGCATTCTTTTGAGAAAAAATATCTACGGAGATCCTCCCAAACTTTGCATGTTATAGCATTATGGATAACACTATTGGATATCTCGGGAGAGAGAGTGTGAACAATTCAAGACAGAACCATGCTATTACACATGGTCCATTGATGAAATTTGGTTGAAGAATCCTCAGGTTTGGTGATCTTGCCGTCAATGAACCCGAGTTTGTTTTGGGCATCAAGAGCCATGCTTACGGCACGAGACCATGTAGGATAATTGTCACCAAGTAGTGTCTATGTAAAGATAATCACACCAAGGTTATTAGAATGAGGTAAATAAAGGGGAGAAGTGTTGTATAATTGAATTTTCTCTCCTAATGATCTTGTTGTTGATGGACTTTGGACAAAACACAATGATGAATGAATCAAACACCCACAGAAAATAACCAAGCTCGGAATGACACAAGAATTTATAGAGGTTCAACAATTGCCTACATCCTCTTTGGTGATCCCCGTGAGAAATTCACTAATGAATGAATAAGTTACAAACTTTGGTTTTCAAAGAAAAACCCCTTGAACTCTATTCTCCCTCACCCCTTGCTCGACACTTTGATGCATTTGTGAACACTCTCTCACACTTGGTGTTTCTCTTCCTTGTTTTCTAGACTTACAAGACTCCAACCCTTAAGCTCTCACCTCTTGGATTTCTTGGCTTACTCTCAAGCCTTTAGCCCCTTAAACTCCTTAAGCTTCTTACTTGTAGTCTCTACACTTCCTATTTAAGTAGACAAGTGGGAAACCTACTTTCAACATCAGCCACTCTACATTGACCCATGATTTGAGGAAACCATAGAGTAGGTGCTATGAAACAAGCCAACCAACAACCTTAAATGATGTTCCAACTTTTCCAACATCTTGCCAAACTTCTTAGAACCCATAAAAGTCTTTGGAGGTGCTTGGAGTTAGGTAGAGAACCAAAACACATGTGAAAAGAACCTGAAAAACGTGTGGAAAAATCAACCCAGTACGGCGACGACCAGTCGCATGTCCCTAGCAACCGGTCGCATTGAGGAAAACTCACCGGTATGCAATCTGTTTGAAAATGACCGGTCGCAATTCCCTGGTGACCAGTCGCTTTCTGCATTTTTTTAGAATTTCAACTCTGCTTCAAAATGACCCGTCACACCTACCTGGTAACCGGTCGCCTTCTGCGACACTTGCAACTTAATGTTAGCTAATTTTTCCAACAATCTCCGCCTTGGAGAACCATTAATCACCTGTGAACCATTATTGACCTCTAGAACATCTTCAACATTTTAGAAATAGTTCTAGTAATTCACAAGAGCTCCTTCATAGCATGCCAAACTCCTTACTTCTTGCCTTCTTAGAACCTTAAATTCTTGACATACCTTGATATGCAAACCTCTACCTACCCTTGTTCAATAAATCCCCTGTTAGCTAACCTTGCTCTTGGATTTAAGAACATATTCCTTTACATCAATGCACATTTCTAACTTTCCAGCTTCATGCTCCCTACAACACTCCGAAACATGGGTGAAACTTCCTAGTCTATCCATCCAAAACCTAGGGACGGTTTGATGGATTCCTTGGACCTGCACCTCGTAATTGACGATGGCTCCATCTCAAGTATAACCTCTTTGTGAGTTTGTTGTTGTTGCCCTCATTCTTCAACCTTTGTGTCAAGCTCCGCCTCAAATGGAGTTCCTTGTATGACTACTTTGGCAAGAAACTTATCTTCAACAACATTCTTGATATCATCCCTTGTCTTGATTTCACTTTTGTGAACCTTTTCCTTCGACTCCACAACTTCTACATTATTGAAATCAAGTACCTCTGATGATGAAATGTTAATTAAGGAATCTTAACTAACCTTTCTTACCCAACTTGTCTAGAGAAAACCTGGAACTGTGCATTATGTTAAATCGGCTCCTTGACATTTAGATATGTTGCTTGCTCTTCCTTGGTACAAGACATACCCAACTCGGCCTTCCTTTTATCTGAGTATACCTTGGTAGACTTCTTTGCTCCACCAATAGTTGTACTACACAAAAGTTGGTAAGTGTTGTTTGGTTAAATCTCCCCCCTCATAACCACAACGGAACCTTGTGTGACTACGAGCTTCCCTCATTCGACCTTGTAA